CCTCCTCCTTTCCTTCTTCTCTTCCTCCTCCTTTTTCTTCTTCTTTTGGTTCTTGAAGACAGTTTCTCTGCATAGTCCTGGCTGTCCTGAAACTCACTCTGTAGACCAGGCTGGCCTTGAACTCAGAGATCCACCCACCTCTGCCTCCCAAGTGCTGGGATTAAAGGCGCTCACCACCATGCCCAGCTGCTATTTCACATTATAAATGGATACATTGTATTAAATGGACACAGCATGCTGCATAGAATATGGGAGTCCTGGTTCCCTAGGGAATCGGTCCAGGGTTGAGGCATCTGCTGTGTGTGAGAAGATAATGGCTCCAGCAAGGGAGGCTGGATGAGGATCCAGGATCGTCACTGGGTGGGTTTCAAGCTGTATAAAGAAGCGTGACCAGGGGCCAATGCTGGTGAAACTGCATCTCTTCCTGTCACCTCAACTTCCTCTTCGCCCGGGTCCTCCAGATGCAAAACCTTAATAACTGCTCAGGAAGCAGCGTGCTGATCTAGCAGAGACAGAAGCTGAAACCAAGCAGTTTCCAACAAAGAAGAGGTTATTAGGAACCACTCAGTAAAGAATCACTGGGTCCATATGGTTTCTCGGGGAAGGTGTGGCCCCGCTAGAGCCCTGATGGCGTATAACTGTTCTAGAAAACAGAAAGGAAAAGAAAACATCAGGACACATTTGGTGAAGCAAGCATAACACTGAAGGGAGAGAGTGGCAGAACAATGGCCCCCTTTACCTGACTCGGAGATGTCCACATCCAGCTCCTCAGAAGCCGTGGGCATCACTTTAGGAGGCAAAAGGGATCTTGCAAGTGTGATAAAGTTATGGGTCTTGATGGGGCAGTGTTCAGGTGAAGTCAAGATGACCACCAGGGCCCTTCGGGAGATGGTAATGTAGAGAAGCAGGAGAATCAGAGGAGCCCTGACTGGAACGCATAGGAGAGGGCTGGAGGCAGAGAGGAACAGTAGATGCTTGTGTTGCTGTCTTCAAGGATGAGGCCATGGACAAGGAAGAGACAGTCACTTAAGAAACCAGAAAGGACAAAGAAACAGAGTTCTGGAGCTGGAGAAATGGCTCAGAGGTTAAGAGCACTGGCTGTTCTTCCAGAGGTCCTGAATTCAATTCCTGGCAACCACATGGTGGCTCACAGCCATCTATAATGAGATCTGGTGCCCTCTTCTGGCGGGCAGAAGTGCATGCAGATAAAACACTGTATACATAATAAATAAATCTTAAAAAAAAAAAAAAAGAAAGAAAGAAAGAAAGAAAAGAAAAAGAAAGAAACAGAGTTCTCTGAAGCCCTGACGTGAATGCAAGCCTACTGACATCTTTGGGCTGGGAAGAGTCATTTTAGACTTCTTGCCCTGGAAACATAAGGGAATAAGTGCATGCTGTTTGGAGACATGGTAGCAAATTGCTACAGCGACCATATGAAACTAAGATCTTATTTGAATAGAAGTGCTAGCAGCAAGAAAAAGGAGATTAAAGGCAGACATTGCTAGTAAATATGATATAAGCTCCTAATAACCACTAGTGTGAAGAATTCAATATTCTATTAAGAAAAGCATGCACAGCAACCCAAAATAATTTAGCCCAGGAGTGAAACATTTATTTTTCTTAGCAGATATATTAATATAATGTAACTTATTCATAAATCTATATAGAGAAAAATTATCTGAGCAGCTCATAGATGCTGGATCAGCTTGACAAATTCAGTTCTCACTGATGGCGAAAAGCACTGATAGGAAAATTGATGGCTGTTTCCTAGCATGACGATGGTACTCATAACTTGATTCTCTCTCTCTCCTGGTGGGGATATCCTAAAAGCACCCTCATTAGGATCAAGGACAAGGCGAGGTCACACTAGAAGACTTAGTTCACTTCTGAGACGTTTCTGCACAGATAAAGGATGGATGTGGATGCACAGACACAGGGAGAGGATGGACGTGGATGCACAGACACAAGGAAAGGATGGATGTGGATGCACAGACACAGGGAGAGGATGGACGTGGATGCACAGACACAAGGAAAGGATGGATGTGGATGCACAGACACTTCAGCGGCAATGGTGCACATCTCAAGTCCCACATCTGGTGTGCACTTCCCAGACCTCCCAAATAGGAATTGGTGCCCAGAAATCACTGCTTCTAGATGTTGGGTGGCAACAAATATAAGCTGACCCTGGACATATTTCAGGGCATCAAACCAGTATTCAAGAACAATAGGGAACTTTCTAGAATCACACAGAGGACTTACAGTGACACTCGTGGCCAACCCCGGGACTTTGGCCATTACAATAAGGACAGGAAAAGAACATCCCGAGGAAAATGAAAAGCTTTGCACCATCCTTACAGAAATGATGGTTGAAATGGGAAGCTACTTGTTCATGGTAGAACATATGGAGAGCCCAAGGAGGAATAATGGTGCTGGAAACAAATCCATTTGCAGCCATCACATTAATAATGACTGACTCCAGGCTGGAGCAGGGCTCATTGATAGAGTGCATGCTCCAACACCAGACAAAAATCAAACAAACACAG